CCGAAATGTACAGGCATGGGACATTCTGGACCTCCAAATGTCCCAATACAGAGTCACAATCGTTTGGGGGACTAGGGTAGCATTCAATCTAATCACAAAAGGGTTCCACAAACCCTAATTCCATAAACACATCAACATAGCAGAGCATAACTCGCATTCTTACAAGAATAATGTGCCCTCTGCGTCCCCAATCCTCAGAACGTGACTCCCTTATTGTTCCTTTAGCCAAGCCCTTCTCTTCCTTGCACAACAACACTTCCAAGATCAACAATGGCCCTTGAACTTTGCTCCAGATGCACCCAATCGATTTAGGGTTCTTCCCAGAAGGCTAAAAATGAACAATGACGGCCAATAAGTGCCTCTTATACGTCCCGAACCTGAACGGTTAGGGTTTTCGCTAAACAGCGCAGACTCGCCGAGTCCATATCTGGACTCGTCGAGTCCAGTCGCGACCCGCGACCCGGTCTGCGATCCTACTCGGCGAGTCTAGGCTCCAACTCGCCGAGTCCCCTCTTAAAACACCCCAGAAACATAATTATTACAATACTTGAAATTCCGGGCTGTTACAGATGCAATCCTAGATACTCCTTTAGTAGATAAAACGAAAACATTTTTAAAATAAAAAAGAATTGAGAATTTTCGAAATAACAATTTTCCAATACTATGTTCGAAATATATTTTTTCCAAAAAAAAATACCACAATAAATAAATAAAATACATTTTTTACATGTTCTAGTAGAATATTAGAATATTCTACATATCTGGCAAATATTCTAACATTCTAAAGATTACATTAGAATATTTATAGTGTAATATTCTATTAGAATATTTCACGTGTTTTAAAAATAAAACGGGATTTTTTTTAATTTTATTTAGTGATTTTTTCAGATAACTCAATTTCCAAAAATTATAATTAAAAAAAGAGTTTTTGGATTTTTCCTTTTCTTTTGCATTTTAAAATTATTTTTAGATTTGGTCTCATAAAATTAACATTGTCTTAACTAAACCTGAACTATATATATATATATATATATATATATATATATATATATATATATATATATATATATATATATATATATATGTTTGGATTCAAAAATATATTGTGTCTAGTAGTTTAGTGTGTTTTCTTAATTCCGAACTTTCGACTTAGGATTCTTTCATATGCTTATTTAACAATTATATATAGGAGCGTTAGTTAGTAGAACGGATAGTTTTTGATACAGAATAGTTCCACACAACTTCTTGGAATGAATTTTTCATTCTTTCCATTAATGCAAACATATCTTATTACTTCTTTGTGTTTCTATAAACCTATATAATCTTTTGATAATGTTTACATTTTACAATTTGTCGCTTCTATAATTGTTGACAATATATATTGACAAAGATATATATATATATATATATATATATATATATATATATATATATATATATATATATATGAGCAATATTTTAAAGAAATAAGATCATAATTAAATATAGTAACTATATAAACCAGAAATGTAACTACAAAAAAGTGTAATTATAATATATCATGTAAGTTCAAAACGTGGGGCCACAACGCAATTTTAGTTGAAAGAGCCCTAGTTCTATTTTTAGGATGAATATCTCAATCAGTATTTTGTAATGAAATTGATTTCATCATTGTTTACAGTTGGTTAATAGTTTTCTTCTCCATGTATATATATTTCCCCTGTAATGAAATGCACCACATGATGTTTCATTCCAACAATATTACTTATCTCTTATACGATTTTTCATTCCAACACTATTACTTTTCTCTTATATTTCTGTACGACCAATGGTTTCTTCGACAGTGTTGTGTCTAGTGTTGCTGAAGGCCGTTGGTGCTCTTGGGTTTCCGGCGACTCTGAAGCTGGAAATATCGTTTCCCACCAACCATGGCGTTGAGTTGAAGCAACTCACGGAAAGAGATGGTTTAAGACACCATAGAATACTACACAAGTATGCTGATCTAAATGTGGTTGTTGGATTTGAAGTATATGGAACCTATGATCCTTTTGATGCTGGGTACGTACACCAACTTTTGTTGAGTATTTAACCATATCATAGTAAACATAAAAATTATTTACAATACATGGTAATTTCAAATATATTTATCAAAAAACAGTGAATTAGTTCCGAACCAGTATTTTTTAATTTTTATATTACAAATGTAAGTAAAGAAACTAGACCGCCGGTCCCTTCATCTTCCTCCTATTCCGTCGTCGTCTTAAGTTTTCTTTATCGCTGGAGTATTCATCATTTTTGTTGTTAAACTGGACCACCAATCCTTGAATCGCCTTCTTACTTGATTACTACTAATCGGTGCATAAAAAACAAGAAGTCACAGGAGACCCAGAGATACCATCATCGCCTGCATCTAATGGGTTACAATACAAAATGAAACTTGTTCTTTTTATTTTTTTTAATTGGAATATGACGTCTATTAATCATTTAATCATGACAGTTTTGAGATGTTTACCGAAGGAATGTTCTTTGTAGAAATCCTAAAACTACTTGTATGGGAATTATAGAATTGCAAACTAAGAGATGCATGTTTCTTCTTGTTATGCTAATCTTAATATCTTCCTAGATCTTCCATTGATGCAACCTCTAGTGTTTTTGTTTAGCGTTTTCAGTGATAAATATTCTTTAATTGTTATTTCTTTATCAGAGTTTTGCTGTCGGGGATATTTTGGGAAAAACTGTCATATTTGATGTTCTTGGTAATTGTTTTTTAAATTCTAGCTCATGTTTCGTTTTATAGTTTTTGATGATTAAAGACCTGCACTTGTTCAATACTTGCGTATGTTTTAGTTATACTTGAAAGACTTTGTGAACAAGTCAATCTTTCCCGTTCTTAGCCACTTGTTCTTCAATTCCTTAACATGTTGTAATTTGGTTAACTTGTATCTTGTACTACACAAAAATAAAGCTAGGATTCCCTGCAAAAGAATACAATTTAGTGATTGATACAGGAAGCGACTTGTTGTGGGTCGGTTGCAAACCCTGTCAATCTTGCCCTACATCATCCACACTACAAGTATGTTCTGATCATTTCTTATAAGGTGTGACTTTTTCAATTAACTAGTATTGGTACTTTATATATGATTTCTTTCTTTGTACAGATTCCTATTACTATCTATGATCCAGCAAACTCGTCAACATCTTCTGCTATCTTATGCTAGGACGAAAGATGTTCTCCAAAATCCAACTCATGTTCAGATAACCAATGCACCTACGATCTCCACTAAGGGGTTGGTAGTGGAACATAAGGTTATTATGTATCCGACTTGATGCATTTTAGAATAATTGTTGGCTAGACAGATTGGTTGAACACTTCAACTTCAGTTTTATTTGGGTAAGTTCTCATGTATCATCAACTATAGAATTTAATTTCTCTTCCTTCTTTTATTCTCTTTAAATAAGTTGGTTGATTTAGTGAATTTTGCATGAGCAGCTGTAGCACATCCGAAACAGGACAGATAAGTCAAACGGAAAGAACACTTGATGAGATTATGGGATTGGGCAGACAAATTATATCCGTCATTTCCCAAATTTCATCACAAGGGATTGCACCAAATTCCTTTGGACATTGTCTAGCTGGTGGTGATGGAGGTGGGATTTTGGCCTTTGGAACACCAGTCATGCCCGATCTAGTCTTCACTCCACTTGTGAAGTCAATGTAAGTTTTTATTTTCTTTATATTGATTTATTAATGTGAGATGACCTAATTTTATGACACCGTGAGATGCAATCTTAGATACACATTTAGTAGATAAAACGAAAACATTTTTAAAATAAAAAAGAATTGAGAATTTTCGAAATAACAATTTTCCAATATTATGTTCGAAATATATTTTTTCCAAAAAAAATACCACAATAAATAAATAAAATACATTTTTTTACATGTTCTAGTACAATATTAGAATATTCTACATATCTGGAAAATATTCTAACATTCTAAAGATCACATTAGAATATTTATAGTGTAATATTCTATTTGAATATTTCACGTGTTTTAAAAATAAAACGGGATTTTGTTTTTTTAATTTTATTTAGTTATTTTTTCTGGTAACTAAATTTTCTAAAAATTATAATTAAAAAAAGAGTTTTTGGATTTTTCCTTTTGTTTTGCATTTTAAAATTATTTTAGATTTGGTCTCACAAAATTAACATTGTCTTAAATAAACCTGAACATATATATATATATATATATATATATATATATATATATATATATATATATATATATGTTTGGATTCAAAAATATATTGTGTCTAGTTGTAATGTTTAGCGTATTTTCTTAATTCCGAACTTTCGACTTAGGATTCTTTCATATGCTTATTTAACAATTATATATAGGAGCGTTAGTTAGTAGAACGGATAGTTTTTGATACAGAATAGTTCCACACAACTTCTTGGAATGAATTTTTCATTCTTTCCATTAATGCAAACATATCTTATTACTTCTTTGTGTTTCTATAAACCTATAAAATCTTTTGATAATGTTTACATTTTACAATTTGTCGCTCCTATAATTGTTGACAATATATATTGACAAAGATATATATATATATATATATATATATATATATATATATATATATATATATATATATATCTGAGTAATATTTTAAAGAAATAAAATCGTAATTAAATATAGTAACTATATAAACGAGAAATGTAACTACAAAAAAGTGTAATTATAAAATATCATGTAAGTTCAATACGTGGGGCCACAACCCAATTCTAGTTGAAAGAGCCCTACTTCTATTTTTAGGATGAATATCTCAATCTGTATTTTGTAATGAAATTGATTTCATCATTGTTTACAGTTGGTTGATAGTTTTCTTCTCCATGTATATATATATATATTTCCCCTGTAATGAAATGCACCACATGATTTTTCATTCCAACAATATTACTTATCTCTTATACGATTTTTCATTCCAACACTATTACTTTTCTCTTATATTTCTGTACGACCAATGGTTTCTTCGACAGTGTTGTGTCTAGTGTTGCTGCAGGCCGTTGGTGCTCTTGGGTTTCCGGCGACTCTGAAGCTGGAAAGATCGTTTCCCACCAACCATGGCGTTGAGTTGAAGCAACTCACGGAAAGAGATGGTTTAAGACACCATAGAATACTACACAAGTATGCTGATCCAAATGTGGTTGTTGGATTTGAAGTATATGGAACCTATGATCCTTTTGATGCTGGGTACGTACACCAACTTTTGTTGAGTTTTAACCATATCATAGTAAACATAAAAATTATTTACAATACATGGTAGTTTCAAATATATTTACCAAAAAACAGTGAAATAGTTCCGAACCAATATTTTTTAATTTTTATATTACAAAAGAAAGTAAAGAAACTAGACCGCCGGTCCCTTCATCTTCCTCCTATTCCGTCGTCGTCTTATGTTTTCTTTATCGCTGGAGTATTCGTCATTTTTGTTGTTAAACTGGACCACCAATCCCTGAATCTCCTTCTTACTTGATTACTACTAATCGGTGCATAAAAAACAAGAAGTCACAGGAGATCCAAAGATACCATGATCGCCTGCATCTAATGGGTTACAATACATAATGAAACTTGTTCTTTTTATTTTTTTTAATTGGAATATGACGTCTATTAATCATTAATCATGACAGTTTTGTGATGTTTATCGAAGGAATGTTCTTTGTAGAAATCCTAAAGCTACTTGTATGGGAATTATAGAATTGCAAACTAAGAGATGCATGTTTCTTCTTGTTATGCTAATCTTAATATCTTCCTAGATCTTCCATTGATGCAACGCTAGTGTTTTTGTTTAGCGTTTTCAGTTATAAATATTCTTCAATTGTTATTTCTTTATTAGAGTTTTGCTGTCGGGGGTATTTTGGGAAAAACTGTCATATTTGATGTTCTTGGTAATTGTTTTTTAAATTCTAGCTCATGTTTCGTTTTATAGTTTTTGATGATCAAAGACCTGCACTTGTTCAATACTTGCGTATGTTTTAGTTATACTTGAAAGACTTTGTGAACAAGTCAATCTTTCCCGTTCTTAGCCACTTGTTCTTCAATTCCTTAACATGTTGTAATTTGGTTAACTTGTATCTTGTACTACACAAAAATAAAGCTAGGATTCCCTGCAAAAGAATACAATTTAGTGATTGATACAGGAAGCGACTTGTTGTGGGTCGGTTGCAAACCCTGTCAATCTTGCCCTACATCATCCACACTACAAGTATGTTCTGATCATTTCTTATAAGGTGTGACTTTTTCAATTAACTAGTATTGGTACTTTATATATGATTTCTTTCTTTGTACAGATTCCTATTACTATCTATGATCCAGCAAACTCGTCAACATCTTCTGCTATCTTATGCTAGGACGAAAGATGTTCTCCAAAATCCAACTCATGTTCAGATAACCAATGCACCTACGATCTCCACTAAGGGTTGGTAGTGGAACATAAGGTTATTATGTATCCGACTTGATGCATTTTAGAATAATTGTTGGCTAGACAGATTGGTTGAACACTTCAACTTCAGTTTTATTTGGGTAAGTTCTCATGTATCATCAACTATAGAATTTAATTTCTCTTCCTTCTTTTATTCTCTTTAAATAAGTTGGTTGATTTAGTGAATTTTGCATGAGCAGCTGTAGCACATCCGAAACAGGACAGATAAGTCAAACGGAAAGAACACTTGATGAGATTATGGGATTGGGCAGACAAATTATATCCGTCATTTCCCAAATTTCATCACAAGGGATTGCACCAAATTCCTTTGGACATTGTCTAGCTGGTGGTGATGGAGGTGGGATTTTGGCCTTTGGCACACCAGTCATGCCCGATCTAGTCTTCACTCCACTTGTGAAGTCAATGTAAGTTTTTATTTTCTTTATATTTATTTATTAATGTGAGATGGCCTAATTTTATGAGACCGTGAGATGCAATCCTAGATACACATTTAGTAGATAAAACGAAAACATTTTTAAAATAAAAAAGAATTGAGAATTTTCGAAATAACAATTTTCCAATATTATGTTCGAAATATATTTTTTCCAAAAAAAATACCACAATAAATAAATAAAATACATTTTTTTACATGTTCTAGTAGAATATTAGAATATTCTACATATCTGGCAAATATTCTAACATTCTAAAGATCACATTAGAATATTTATAGTGTAATATTCTATTAGAATATTTCACGTGTTTTAAAAATAAAACGGGATTTTTTTTTAATTTTATTTAGTTATTTTTTCAGATAACTCAATTTCCAAAAATTATAATTAAAAAAAGAGTTTTTGGATTTTTCCTTTTGTTTTGCATTTTAAAATTATTTTTAGATTTGGTCTCATAAAATTAACATTGTCTTAACTAAACCTGAACATATATATATATATATATATATATATATATATATATATATATATATATATATATATATATATATATATATATATATTGTTTGGATTCAAAAATATATTGTGTCTAGTTGTAATGTTTAGCGTATTTTCTTAATTCCGAACTTTCGACTTAGGATTCTTTCATATGCTTATTTAACAATTATATATAGGAGCGTTAGTTAGTAGAACGGATAGTTTTTGATACAGAATAATTCCACACAACTTCTTGGAATGAATTTTTCATTCTTTCCATTAATGCAAACATATCTTATTACTTCTTTGTGTTTCTATAAACCTATATAATCTTTTGATAATGTTTACATTTTACAATTTGTCGCTCCTATAATTGTTGACAATATATATTGACAAAGATATATATATATATATATATATATATATATATATATATATATTAATATAATAATCGTTATAAATATAGTAACTATATAAATGAGAAATGTAACTACAAAAAAGTGTAATTATAATATATCATGTAAGTTCAATCCGTGGGGCCACAACCGAATTTTAGTTGAAAGAGCCCTAGTTCTATTTTTAGGATGAATATCTCAATCTGTATTTTGTAATGAAATTGATTTCATCATTGTTTACAGTTGGTTGATAGTTTTCTTCTCCATGTATATATATTTCCCCTGTAATGAAATGCACCACATGATGTTTCATTCCAACAATATTACTTATCTCTTATACGATTTTTCATTCCAACACTATTACTTTTCTCTTATATTTCTGTACGACCAATGGTTTCTTCGACAGTGTTGTGTCTAGTGTTGCTGCAGGCCGTTGGTGCTCTTGGGTTTCCGGCGACTCTGAAGCTGGAAAGATCGTTTCCCACCAACCATGGCGTTGAGTTGAAGCAACTCACGGAAAGAGATGGTTTAAGACACCATAGAATACTACACAAGTATGCTGATCCAAATGTGGTTGTTGGATTTGAAGTATATGGAACCTATGATCCTTTTGATGCTGGGTACGTACACCAACTTTTGTTGAGTATTTAACCATATCATAGTAAACATAAAAATTATTTACAATACATGGTAGTTTCAAATATATTTACCAAAAAACAGTGAATTAGTTCCGAACCAATATTTTTTAATTTTTATATTACAAAAAAGTAAAGAAACTAGACCGCCGGTCCCTTCATCTTCCTCCTATTCCGTCGTCGTCTTAAGTTTTCTTTATCGCCGGAGTATTCATCATTTTTGTTGTTAAACTGGACCACCAATCCCTGAATCTCCTTCTTACTTGATTACTACTAATCGGTGCATAAAAAACAAGAAGTCACAGGAGACCCAAATATACCATCATCGCCTGCATCTAATGGGTTACAATACAAAATGAAACTTGTTCTTTTTATTTTTTTTAATTGGAATATGACGTCTATTAATCATTTAATCATGACAGTTTTGTGATGTTTACCGAAGGAATGTTCTTTGTAGAAATCCTAAAACTACTTGTATGGGAATTATAGAATTGCAAACTAAGAGATGCATGTTTCTTCTTGTTATGCTAATCTAATATCTTCCTAGATCTTCCATTGATGCAACGCTAGTGTTTTTGTTTAGCGTTTTCAGTTATAAATATTCTTCAATTGTTATTTCTTTATCAGAGTTTTGCTGTCGGGGGTATTTTGGGAAAAACTGTCATATTTGATGTTCTTGGTAATTGTTTTTTAAATTCTAGCTCATGTTTCGTTTTATAGTTTTTGATGATCAAAGACCTGCACTTGTTCAATACTTGCGTATGTTTTAGTTATACTTGAAAGACTTTGTGAACAAGTCAATCTTTCCCGTTCTTAGCCACTTGTTCTTCAATTCCTTAACATGTTGTAATTTGGTTAACTTGTATCTTGTACTACACAAAAAAAAGCTAGGATTCCCTGCAAAAGAATACAATTTAGTGATTGATACAGGAAGCGACTTGTTGTGGGTCGGTTGCAAACCCTGTCAATCTTGCCCTACATCATCCACACTACAAGTATGTTCTGATCATTTCTTATAAGGTGTGACTTTTTCAATTAACTAGTATTGGTACTTTATATATGATTTCTTTTTTTGTACAGATTCCTATTACTATCTATGATCCAGCAAACTCGTCAACATCTTCTGCTATCTTATGCTAGGACGAAAGATGTTCTCCAAAATCCAACTCATGTTCAGATAACCAATGCACCTACGATCTCCACTAAGGGGTTGGTAGTGGAACATAAGGTTATTATGTATCCGACTTGATGCATTTTAGAATAATTGTTGGCTAGACAGATTGGTTGAACACTTCAACTTCAGTTTTATTTGGGTAAGTTCTCATGTATCATCAACTATAGAATTTAATTTCTCTTCCTTCTTTTATTCTCTTTAAATAAGTTGGTTGATTTAGTGAATTTTGCATGAGCAGCTGTAGCACATCCGAAACAGGACAGATAAGTCAAACGGAAAGAACACTTGATGAGATTATGGGATTGGGCAGACAAATTATATCCGTCATTTCCCAAATTTCATCACAAGGGATTGCACCAAATTCCTTTGGACATTGTCTAGCTGGTGGTGATGGAGGTGGGATTTTGGCCTTTGGCACACCAGTCATGCCCGATCTAGTCTTCACTCCACTTGTGAAGTCAATGTAAGTTTTTATTTTCTTTATATTTATTTATTAATGTGAGATGGCCTAATTTTATGAGACCGTGAGATGCAATCCTAGATACACATTTAGTAGATAAAACGAAAACATTTTTAAAATAAAAAAGAATTGAGAATTTTCGAAATAACAATTTTCCAATACTATGTTCGAAATATATTTTTTCCAAAAAAAAATACCACAATAAATAAATAAAATACATTTTTTTACATGTTCTAGTAGAATATTAGAATATTCTACATATCTGGCAAATATTCTAACATTCTAAAGATCACATTAGAATATTTATAGTGTAATATTCTATTAAATATTTCACGTGTTTTAAAAATAAAACGGGATTTTTTTTTTAATTTTATTTAGTTATTTTTTCAGATAACTCAATTTCCAAAAATTATAATTAAAAAAAGAGTTTTTGGATTTTTCCTTTTGTTTTGCATTTTAAAATTATTTTTAGATTTGGTCTCATAAAATTAACATTGTCTTAACTAAACCTGAACTTATATATATATATATATATATATATATATATAATATATATATATATATATATATATATATGTTTGGATTCAAAAATATATTGTGTCTAGTTGTAATGTTTAGCGTATTTTCTTAATTCCGAACTTTCGACTTAGGATTCTTTCATATGCTTATTTAACAATTATATATAGGAGCGTTAGTTAGTAGAACGGATAGTTTTTGATACAGAATAATTCCACACAACTTCTTGGAATGAATTTTTCATTCTTTCCATTAATGCAAACATATCTTATTACTTCTTTGTGTTTCTATAAACCTATATAATCTTTTGATAATGTTTACATTTTACAATTTGTCGCTCCTATAATTGTTGACAATATATATTGACAAAGATATATATATATATATATATATATATATATATATATATATATATATATATATATATATATATATATATATTTATATATCTGAGTAATATTTTAAAGAAATAAAATCGTAATTAAATATAGTAACTATATAAATGAGAAATGTAACTACAAAAAAGTGTAATTATAATATATCATGTAAGTTCAAACCGTGGGGCCACAACCCAATTTAGTTGAAAGAGCCCTAGTTCTATTTTTAGGATGAATATCTCAATCAGTATTTTGTAATGAAATTGATTTCATCATTGTTTACAGTTGGTTGATAGTTTTCTTCTCCATGTATATATATTTCCCCTGTAATGAAATGCACCACATGATGTTTCATTCCAACAATATTACTTATCTCTTATACGATTTTTCATTCCAACACTATTACTTTTCTCTTATATTTCTGTACGACCAATGGTTTCTTCGACAGTGTTGTGTCTAGTGTTGCTGCAGGCCGTTGGTGCTCTTGGGTTTCCGGCGACTCTGAAGCTGGAAAGATCGTTTCCCACCAACCATGGCGTTGAGTTGAAGCAACTCACGGAAAGAGATGGTTTAAGACACCATAGAATACTACACAAGTATGCTGATCCAAATGTGGTTGTTGGATTTGAAGTATATGGAACCTATGATCCTTTTGATGCTGGGTACGTACACCAACTTTTGTTGAGTATTTAACCATATCATAGTAAACATAAAACTTATTTACAATACATGGTAGTTTCAAATATATTTACCAAAAACAGTGAATTAGTTCCGAACCAATATTTTTTAATTTTTATATTACAAAAGTAAGTAAAGAAACTACACCGCCGGTCCCTTCATCTTCCTCCTATTCCGTCGTCGTCTTAAGTTTTCTTTATCGCCGGAGTATTCATCATTTTTGTTGTTAAACTGGACCACCAATCCTTGAATCGCCTTCTTACTTGATTACTACTAATCGGTGCATAAAAAACAAGAAGTCACAGGAGACCCAGAGATACCATCATCGCCTGCATCTAATGGGTTACAATACAAAATGAAACTTGTTCTTTTTATTTTTTTTAATTGGAATATGACGTCTATTAATCATTTAATCATGACAGTTTTGAGATGTTTACGAAGGAATGTTCTTTGTAGAAATCCTAAAACTACTTGTATGGGAATTATAGAATTGCAAATTAAGAGATGGATGTTTCTTCTTGTTATGCTAATCCTAATGTCTTCCTAGATCTTCCATTGATGCAACCGCTAGTGTTTTTGTTTAGCGTTTTCAGTTATAAATATTCTTCAATTGTTATTTCTTTATTAGAGTTTTGCTGTCGGGGGTATTTTGGGAAAAACTGTCATATTTGATGTTCTTGGTAATTGTTTTTTAAATTCTAGCTCATGTTTCGTTTTATAGTTTTTGATGAACAAAGACCTGCACTTGTTCAATACTTGCGTATGTTTTAGTTATACTTGAAAGACTTTGTGAAAAGTCAATCTTTCCCGTTCTTAGCCACTTGTTCTTCAATTCCTTAACATGTTGTAATTTGGTTAACTTGTATCTTGTACTACACAAAAATAAAGCTAGGATTCCCTGCAAAAGAATACAACTTAGTGATTGATACAGGAAGCGACTTGTTGTGGGTCGGTTGCAAACCCTGTCAATCTTGCCCTACATCATCCACACTACAAGTATGTTCTGATCATTTCTTATAAGGTGTGACTTTTTCAATTAAGTAGTATTGGTATTTATATATGATTTCTTTCTTTGTACAGATATCCTATTACTATCTATGATCCAGCAAACTCGTCAACATCTTCTGATATCTTATGCTAGGACGAAAGACGTTCTCCAAAATCCAACTCATGTTCAGATAACCAATGCACCTACGATCTCCACTAAGGGGTTGGTAGTGGAACATAAGGTTATTATGTATCCGACTTGATGCATTTTAGAATAATTGTTGGCTAGACAGATTGGTTGAACACTTCAACTTCAGTTTTATTTGGGTAAGTTCTCATGTATCATCAACTATAGAATTTAATTTCTCTTCCTTCTTTTATTCTCTTTAAATAAGTTGGTTGATTTAGTGAATTTTGCATGAGCAGCTGTAGCACATCCGAAACAGGACAGATAAGTCAAACGGAAAGAACACTTGATGAGATTATGGGATTGGGCAGACAAATTATATCCGTCATTTCCCAAATTTCATCACAAGGGATTGCACCAAATTCCTTTGGACATTGTCTAGCTGGTGGTGATGGAGGTGGGATTTTGGCCTTTGGCACACCAGTCATGCCCGATCTAGTCTTCACTCCACTTGTGAAGTCAATGTAAGTTTTTATTTTCTTTATATTTATTTATTAATGTGAGATGGCCTAATTTTATGAGACCGTGAGATGCAATCCTAGATACACATTTAGTAGATAAAACGAAAACATTTTTAAAATAAAAAAAGAATTGAGAATTTTCGAAATAACAATTTTCCAATACTGTGTTCGAAATATATTTCTTCCAAAAAAAATACCACAATAAATAAATAAAATACATTTTTTTACATGTTCTAGTAGAATATAAGAATATTCTACATATCTGGCAAATATTCTAACATTCTAAAGATCACATTAGAATATTTATAGTGTAATATTCTATAGAATATTTCACGTGTTTTAAAAATAAAACGGGATTTTTTTTTAATTTTATTTAGTTATTTTTTCAGATAACTCAATTTCCAAAAATTATAATTAAAAAAAGAGTTTTTGGATTTTTCCTTTTGTTTTGCATTTTAAAATTATTTTTAGATTTGGTCTCATAAAATTAACATTGTCTTAACTAAACCTGAACTTATATATATATATATATATATATATATAATATATATATATATATATATATATATATATATGTTTGGATTCAAAAATATATTGTGTTTAGTTGTAATGTTTAGCGTATTTTCTTAATTCCGAACTTTCGACTTAGGATTCTTTCATATGCTTATTTAACAATTATATATAGGAGCGTTAGTTAGTAAAACGGATAGTTTTTGATACAGAATAATTCCACACAACTTCTTGGAATGAATTTTTCATTCTTTCCATTAATGCAAACATATCTTATTACTTCTTTGTGTTTCTATAAACCTATATAATCTTTTGATAATGTTTACATTTTACAATTTGTCGCTCCTATAATTGTTGACAATATATATTGACAAAGATATATATATATATATATATATATATATATATATATATATATATATATATATATATATATTGAGTAATATTTTAAAGAAATAAAATCGTAATTAAATATAGTAACTATATAAATGAGAAATGTAACTACAAAAAAGTGTAATTATAATATATCATGTAAGTTCAAACCGTGGGGCCACAACCCAATGTTAGTTGAAAGAGCCCTAGTTCTATTTTTAGGATGAATATCTCAATCAGTATTTTGTAATGAAATTGATTTCATCATTGTTTACAGTTGGTTGATAGTTTTCTTCTCCATGTATATATATTTCCCCTGTAATGAAATGCACCACATGATGTTTCATTCCAACAATATTACTTATCTCTTATACGATTTTTCATTCCAACACTATTACTTTTCTCTTATATTTCTGTACGACCAATGGTTTCTTCGACAGTGTTGTGTCTAGTGTTGCTGCAGGCCGTTGGTGCTCTTGGGTTTCCGGCGACTCTGAAGCTGGAAAGATCGTTTCCCACCAACCATGGCGTTGAGTTGAAGCAACTCACGGAAAGAGATGGTTTAAGACACCATAGAATACTACACAAGTATGCTGATCCAAATGTGGTTGTTGGATTTGAAGTATATGGAACCTATGATCCTT